CATGACCTTGAAACAAAATGCTAGGAATTAACAATGGCTGCTACATGAGATACTGTTATCTTCAATGAAGTTGCTCAGTCATAGGGATCTTGTAGACACATGAACTCTGTCATATCTGCAGGTGATTAGGCAGTTTTAAGTACTAGTAATTTTCCACTCAAAGTGAAGTATGTTGTCTTGAAAACTGACCCTTTTAAGTTTATATTTCTTACACACTTTCTTCCCATGCATACCCTTTAGTAGTGATAGGCACAGTCCAAGATTTGGCAAAAATGCATTCAAAGAATAGAAAAATGTGAGCAGAATTTAGACCTATGATGAGTCCATCTTCCAGGAAGATGCTGTGTAACATAAAAAAGGTTAAAAGGGTATTGAAAGTCAGGTTCCATGAGGATGCTTGGTAGAAACTGTGAAAACAGGAAAATGGCAACATGTGTATGAATGATGTTAGATACTTCTATGATCCAAGGTGTATGTGGGGGATTTAAATTTTATAAATCACAAAGAATTATTCAAGCCCCAAATTTTAAATGTTTCCAAATTTAGTCCAACTTCTAATTTTATTACCAATAGAGCTAGTTATAAAGGTAATTCTAACCCTAACCCCCTAACTCTAACATTTAAAAGTAACCAAACAAAAACTATCAGCGTATCTCTTAACTTCTGACTCTCACCCTGTTCTAACCAAAGCCCTAGCACTAAACCATTATGTAGCCTTCTCAGTTCCTCAAACAATAACCCATAAATCTAACTGTAGTCCAAACCTAACCTTAATCATAAAACATTAAATCTAAACCAGGACCTAACCCCCGCCCTTACCCTTAAATCATAACCCCTTATTGAACATTGAACCCTAACCCTAAACCTTAACCATAAACCCTAACCCTGAATCTTAAATCCTAACCCCAACTCTAACACCTGAAACAACACTGACCCTAACTTCTAGCCCTAAACCCTCACATCTAAACCTAACCCTAAGTAAGAGTAGCAGAGTCCATCTGTTTCCTGGGGTGATAGCTAATCCCTGACCTACCTGGGGAGGATGGGTCAAGTGCTGTTATGTCTGTCTTTCTGTCTGGTTGTGTACCGAGTTTGAGTTGGGGGCAGTCAGCAGCCCAGGGGCTGTTTGAAGTCCAGTGTGACGAAAAGTTCAGTTAAGGACGCCACTGTAGATGACCTCACATACTTCAGGATGAAACATTGCTCGGAACCCTGTTGCTGAGCAACACATAACACAACTAACTGAAGCCGGCTCACTTTTCTGGAGAGGTAGAATACGTGGGGATGTTTTCTTGCTGTCTCCCGACTTCCCAAGGCTCAGGCCTCAGGAGATCTCACAGGGGAGGACTCAGCCACATCTGGAGAAACTGGGTTCCCCATCTCATCCGACGCCTGTGGCCATTTTCACGGAGGAGTCAAAGTGGGGCACATAGTAGCCGAGGGCAGGTCAGCAAAGGCCAGCATACTGCTCTGATACCTCCTGTGTGGGTCCAAAACCACCCTGTGTATGTGTATGTGCATGCGTGTGTGGTTATGTGTGTGTGTGTGTGTGTGTATGTGTGTCCATGCACATGAGTGAGTGTCAGCAAAAAACATCTGTGATATTCTTGCATCCTCAGAGTCATTTGACCACTTTCTAAGGTTGTGGTTGAAATTTAAAATGACCCCAAATATCTCATGTATCTAGAAGTGGGGCTTCTGGAGCTGATGAGATTGTGTGGGTGGATCATTGCACCGATGACTCCATAGCTAAATATATTGTTAGGAATTGGGGCCTGATTGTAGGAGGTGGGTCATTGTAGGTGTGACCCTGGAGGGTATATTTTGTCCCAGTCTCCTCCGTTCTCTCTTTCTCTGTTTTCTGGCTGTGTGAGTTGAGAAACTTTCCTCTGCCATTCCCTTGGATCATGGCATTTCTGCCTTGGAGCCAATCCACCATGAACTAAACTCTAAAACCATGAGCCCGAATAAGCCTCTCCTTCTCTTCAGGTGTGTTGAGTACTGGTCCTAGAGACACACAAGTGGTTAATACAGCTGCTGTTTCCATGTTTACCTCCCTCCATGGTCCCACTTCAGGGTGAAAAGGAGTCAGGACAGATTGTGGATACTCGAGTTTGCTTTGAGCTTCTGAAGAAGGATATAATAGAGAGCATGGTCAACCGTCTTGTGCCATCCCTGCTTCATGGGAATCCCTTATTCCTTCATAAGTTTTTGCAAAGCTACCAAACATTTGGCACCATGCAGCAGGTGCTGGATCTTCTGCTGAAAAGGTTTGTGCACCATCTTGTAGGCCAGGGGAGCTCGGCACCCTCTGGGTGGATCTTGGGAATGCCTTGCATCACTCAGCCACCCAGTTTGTTGGGTGGAAACTGGGGTGTTAATAGGAGGACCTGTAGAGTGTGTTCAGGACCAAAGGAGCCTAAAAATGCCTGTCCTGGGTTGGTTGTGTACATGGGTCATCCAGTGCCAGGGTTCACTTGTGTGTGACATTCACCTTTCATCAACATGAAGCTGTCAGCTTTGGTCTTCACTAACTTGAAGCTGCAGAGCAAGTTTCCCCATCTGTACAGGAGGGTCTGGACACCATCTGGGAGACTCCCCTCTTAAATGCAGGCAGAGCAGAAGCCCTGGGGGTAGATCGAAGGGCCTGGGACCCATGGAGATATTTGGGAAGGAGATGGTTGGATTCATTCAAGGCACACACATATATGAAGCAGTAATTTTATATGGGCATGTTTCTGGGTATATAGCCCACCTCAGGGCTAAGGAAAATACCTTCTCTCTTAGGCTTTATTTCTATGTCAGAGTAGGGACATAAGAAGACAAACGAAACCATAAGAAGTTAGGGTAAGTGCATTCCAAGCCTCCCAGGTCCATCTGCTCGGATTCATTTGCTCACTCCTGGGAAAACCAAAGGAAACCATTTACTTTGGGGAAAAAGAGAAAGGCTTTCTTTAAGTCTTGCTCTACAGGGAGGGAAGTGCTGCCTTTGCCTCAAATCATGAACTCACAGTGTCCAGGTGTGTGGGGTCTTTCATAGTAAGGTATAGAGGAGAGAGGGTACAAAAGAAAAGAAGACACCTCTTCAGGCTTGCTCCCTGGCTCCTGGACAACTTCTAATCCCTCTCTCCCTTCTGGAAATGAAATGGGACTTGACCTCCTGGGGCAGCATGTGCATATTCTCTGCTTTCCTCCAGGCTAGGGGGAAGAGGGGGTGGCATTAAGTCTTCAGCTTGAGGAAGGTTGGAGAAATCAGTTGACCCTAAGGAAAAATTCTCACAGCTAAAGTACCATTTTATCATGCTGCTTACAGATGTGATAGTCTCACGGCCTGTGCGTACAGCCAAAGCCTCCATTACTCCAGCAAGAGTAGCAGGCCTCTGGATGAACTGAAAAAGTGAGTGAGCTTTGGCTGAAGAGGGAAAGTTCCTGTGTCTGGGTGGGGAACTGGGGAGCTGTGATAGGGAGGAGGGCAAGAACCAGCTGTTGTGTTTCCTGCTAGAAGGCTGAGGTCAGGGCTGCTCTTACAGGAGGAGGAAGTAAGAGCTGTGGGTGGGGTTCTAGGCCAGGGAACAGAGGGGAAACCAGGGATTTGAGCCAAGTGCTGTGAGAATCCATCCCCACCAGCGCCCATTCCATCCATGCATGCCCAGCCCACCGCTCACTGGGACGCAGTGGCTGTTTGGGGAGCAGCATGCTGATATGTAGCCTTGCTACTTTGCTAGTAGTTTCCAGGTGACTGGGTGTCTATAAGGGGTGGGTGTACCCCTCAGTAGAAGTGTGGATGGGAAGACAAGACCCATAGGTTTCTCAGAGATGGAAGCATCTTGGTAACATGGACCACAGGTTGTGGGGTCACCAGCAAAAACCACTGAAGAGTTTACTTTGCAGTGAGCAGGGGATGCCCAAGTTCCACGCAGCAGTGTGTGGGCTTCTCTGAAGAAGGGGAGTAGTTGATCTAGAGTTCCTCCAGGGGAGGTTCTCTACAGTTTTTGCTGGGTTTCCTGACACTGCCCACCCATCTGCCCTCAGTGCCATCTCTACCATCTTTGGCACATGGCTTGAAAAGTATTCAGACCAGTTTTATCAGCCGCCGGAGTTTGCGTGCCTCAAGCAGCTAGTGGAGTACGTGCAGCTGCACATGCCTGCCTCAGACCTGGAGCTCCGTGCGGACCTTCTACTGGCGCAGCTGGAAGACATGGAGACCATGAGAGCCAAGACTGAGGGTGAGGAAGCGGGGAGGGGTTCATCAAAGCACACAAGGAGGGTGTGTGCTGAACTCACCAGGAGGAGGCTCCTGGCTGAGTGAGGCCAGGCCCAAACAGGAGCCCCTGGCCCCTCAGGTGGCGGACCACAGTCTGAGCAGATCTTCCATTTTGGAGTCGGGGTTGGAAGATTTTCTGGCAGGCAGGGAATGGTTCAGAGCAAGGTAGTGATACTGGGCACCTTTTTTTCCTGCAGCTCTGGCACCAGCACCAGTGCCAGGTCCAACTGGAGAGTGCCAATCAGCTCCAGTAGCATCCTGTAAACCAGAGGCAGATCTGCCACTTGTTCTGGAGCAAGAGTCAGCTGCAGTGCCAGCTGCCGTGCGAGCTCCTGCTAAGAAGCCACCTCGGTTTAATGTTGTAAAGAAGAAGCCAACTGTATCTGAGCCTCTGGAGCTTGAGCCAGCCAGAGCAGGGCCACTTCTCCCAGTGGAGCCACCCTGGCCTTCGCCTGTGACCATGAAAGTCAGGGTGAGTGTAGAACAGCCTCACATGATGGTGTTCCCTCCTTACCTGGTTGTGGGTCCTGCAGAGGGACATGGGAAGTGGCTGGGCTCAGAAGGAAAGGCAAGTATGGACTCCTTTCAGGTATCTGCCATTGAGACCCGCTGTTCCCTGGTCCAGAGGCCACATCCTGTTCAAATCCCAGCTCCATTCTTGCACACAACAGGGTCACTCTTATGGAAGATGTCTTTAGTGGCAGGGAAACAGATCCTAGAATTTCCCATGAGGCCTGAGCCACAGTTGTGACTTCCTGAGCTCCAGACCTGATCAGTGTGGTCTCTGTCTTGCTTGGGATGCTGTGGTCTGTGGCAGGCCCCAGTGGCTCCATCTCTCCTCAGGAGCTGTTTAACAAAATGGTCCTCTCCCCTTTCCAGGATTCCACCTGGATGCATCGGGACAAAAGAGCCAAGGAGCACCGGGCTGCCACCATCGGCACCACTTTCATTCGGTTCTCAAGTGTGGCCCAGTGTGTCGTCAGTACTGTCCTCAGGCACTGCCTTATGGAAGCCTTGGCCCGCACCCAGGTTGTGGTACACTGGATATCCTGGGGTCCTGGGTGCTTTAGGAATGGCTTGAACCTCTCTTCACCTTTATGTGCTCTGAGCCCTGAGCTCCTGCATAGACCACAGGCCCCTTCTTTGCAGGGCTGCTCTGCCGTGGACTCTCATGGCACTCCCTTCTGGCACTCTTTCCTTGGTGGTACCTGTGATCCTGGGCTCTCTTATCCCTTGCTTCCCAAGTGTCCCATCTCGTGCCCCCATGAGGGTCTGTGTGATCAGGACAGGGTCCTCGTCTAGGGGCAAGAGCTCCAACATCCCTCACAGAGTCCTTCTTCCCCAGGAGCGCCGCAAAATTCTGAGGAACCATGCCTCCCTCTCTCGGCTTCGAATCAGCGCCACCCAGTGCCTGATGGAGACCTGGGAAGATTTCTGTAGGCGGCTGGCCGGTCCTCCACATTGGAGCTCAGGGTGAACCAGCACCACAAACTAGACAAAATGTGTGCAGAACTTGTCTGTGAAGGTAGAAATGTTTAGCATGTATTTTATAAAGTTCCCCCAAACTCAAAATAAAGAATCTTATTAGAAAAGAGGCAAAATGAATTAAAGACAACTATTTACCAAATAGGCAAATGAAAACATTGAGGCTGGGTGTGGTGGGGCAGGCCTGTCATTGGATTACACTGAAGAGAGGCTGAGGCAGGAAAATCGCAACTTTCAGCCCAGTTTGGCAATTTAGTGACTTAGTGAAACCCTTCAAAAATGAAATTCACCATTATTAGCCATTAAACAAGAACAACTAAAAACCCATTAAAGAAATGCACTTAAAAACCGTGATGCTGTATCACCCGAAAGTACCTGAATAGCTAACATGGGAAATGCCAAGTACTTAATGCAAGGGTGGATGGTAAGAAATCAGGTCTGTCATACGCTGCTGGTGAAGAAGTACATGTCCTAATTTTGATGTCATCGTATTATTTTTGCAGACTGTTACCACTGGGTAAAAGTGGGTAAGGAGTGCATGGGGCGTCTTATCCCTCAACTTCCTATCAGTTTATAATCATTTCAAGACAAAATGATTTTCAAAATGCAATAATAACATCTGATTTCGAGAAGGTATGCAATTGAAAAATAGACATAGATAAATTAAAAGTATAAGAAATGAAAAAGTTATAACATACAATAATTGTAAGAACATTGGCATACATGTATTAACATGAGAAGAAACAGTTTCCAAGGTAAAGGGTATGACAGTAAATCAACAAAGCAAGACACTGCATAACGAAAAAAGCAGAAATTTGTCAGGAAAGCAAAACAGCCATTCTCATGCAAAAAATGGTAGCACATCAAAATTCATGGAGCTAAACTGATAGAGTTAAAGGGAGAAATATAGTGAAAACCACAGATTTAGGTGGGATGTTTTAACATCTCTGATTCAGTAACTGAAAAATTCAACATACAACCCTCCAGCAAGGATATAAAATCATCACAATACTTTCTTGTTTATATATA